TTATTTAAATATTTTAGCATTTTAAAAAAGTAAATCAGAGCTAAAAAAGTGCAAAAATGCAGGCAAATTTGCCTGTGCTGGTCTATATATTAAGGGATATAGTTAGGTAGGAGTAAAATAATAAAAAAATTTTTTTCTTTATAAACCAGCTCAGCATATTTTATACTATGAGTCTTGAACTATTTAGCAAAAGAGAACTTGCTAAAAAATACCCCAAATGATCAGAGTTATTAAAATTTTTAGGAATAAATATTCTAAAAAGTTATCCAAATTCTCTTGCAAACGATATTACAATACCAGAGCTAGAGAATTATTATGAATATAACAAAAAAATTTTTTTAAATCTGCCCAAAGCATTTACTATGTTAGTGTATAGTCATACTCTCCATCACGACTGCCTTGAAAAAAGTAACAGAGATAAGCAAAAAACTTGCCCCATTTGTTTCATAAATAATGAAAGACCAGCATTAGCTGAAGTTCAGAACATAGATATGACAGAGGTAGTAGAAGGTGAAAGTGAAGAAGTCTCTAATCTAACAGGAGAAGTAAGTAAATTATCTGTAGACAACAGTAAAGCTATTCCCCAAAGTAAAACGAAATCTATAGAATTTGAAAAAGTGCAAGGTTTAATAAAAAAACTGTCTATGCCTCATGAACTAATTGATAATAATGATAAAGAAAATAAAACCAGGGAATTGAAACCAAAAACTTTACTTTAGTTATATTATAATGCAAGCCAGGCAGAAAAACATGTAACCCGAGCCTACCAAGAAGAAATTAGGTATTGGTACCTGTTTGCTGAAAAATTCAAAGGGTTAAAGAAATTAAAAATGATAATAGTAGATTTAATGATCAACAAGCTAGAGGGTTAGTTTATAGTGAAATTGCAACAAATATTCCAGGATTCACAAGAGAAAGCCTATGTAAAAAAATAGCAAAAACTAGAAATATTTATAAGTTGTTTGTAAAAGTTATGACTCTGAAACCAAAACAGTAATTAAGAGACTAGGGATTGAAAAAATAGAGCAAATTTAATCTTATAGTGCTGATTATATACTGTCGGCCCTCCCCAAACCGATCCTGTCAAAACCGATAACCTGCCATAATCGGTCAAAAATCGATCCACCAGGCCTGTTCCTTAATTTATATCCGATAACCTGCCATTTCTGATATCCGATAGTCCAAATGCATTAGGTTCCCGATTCATTGGAGGCGATCACATGATTAACGACCAATCAGAATTTGAATTTAAAGAAGCAAAAAATCGGGTGATCAAGAAAGTGAAAGAGAACAGCATACACAGTTCATATTTAACAGTTAAGTACAAGCATGATTTACGTTATGCTGATTTTATTAATCAGTAAAAAAAAACTTATCGTTTAAATGGCTTTTTTTTTATGCCAATAGCCATTAAGTTTCGCCAGTATAACTTTCACTTTTTATTTTATTTTTTGTAAATTTTTCAAGTAAAATTTCTCAAAAATTCTTTTCGTTTAGTAAAGAGAAAAAAAAAAACCAATAATACTGAAATCCATTTTTCAAGCTTGGAAATATTGTTCTAGTTTTTGTTGGACTTGCTTTCCGACTTTCTCTTTTCGAATCTCCTCACGGATACAGGTTTGTAGCTTGCGTAATGTCTTCATTGTTACTCCACCATCATCGATTCTCTCATCAACAATCCTTAGGGCACTACGTAAAATAATCAATTGCTCTTCTCCGGTTAGGGGCGGCACAACAAATTCATCTTCTACCTGTTCTATTTCCGTAGCTGTCTGAATCAGATCTTCATCAGTAAACAGGTGGTGAACTTCTAGTTCCTCATCAAGGTTTAGCAAGTCCTCAATTGGCATTGGATTATGGAGATTCAATAGATCTATTTGCTGTTGGAGTTCTTTAGCCGCTTGTTGATCATTCGAATCAAGAGGTAGGCTTTCTTCTACATTATTAATGCTTTCAACAGCAATGGGAGGGATGACAGGTATTCCATTTTCATCACGGGGGGATACAATTTTTGTACGGAACCAACATCTTCTGATCATTTCAGCTGATACTTCACTCCAAGCGATCTTAATCCATTTCATAGCCTGCAAACAATAGTGCGTTAGTATAAATATTTTTTCAATCTATTAGTTGGTCTTTGGTTAGTTGCGATTAGTGTTGCTTGCTGCAAATATGAATTGCAACTTATTGCCGCAATAGAATGTACCATCTTAATCTAACAAATAATGACTTATTTTGTAGTTGTGACTTTGCAGAAGCAACTCTAGTTGCAACTAGATTTAATCTTTTTTTTTTTTTGATTTAGGTTCTCAAGTAGCTTCCTTGATGATATTTGCTAATGATCAAGATACTGCACAATCATTTCGATTAATCGAAATTAATTGTACTGGAAATTCATTATGTGAATTTTAAAGTTAGTCAATCAGTATAACTCTACGAAAAAAAAAGATGGTTGTTAGATTCTCGATCGAAATGATTAACACATTCCATTTTTTTAGCCAGACAGATCATCTTGTTAATCACAGAGAGAGTTGCTTGAGAACAACCTTAACCAAACAGATTATTATTTGACCTTTTTTTTTTTGTCTAACCCACTGATGTCGAGTATCATGGGATGTCAAGTGACATTTCATGGGCTATCTATTTTTGATTTGCATCACTACCTGCAATTGATCTATTTTATAGATATCTTTTTCCCCAGCTTCATCACGGTCAATTGCCTGTTGAAGTTGAATATGACGATAATGAAGTTTGAACGATGCAATAATACCAGCATCCATTGGTTGTATTTTGGATGTTGTATATGGAGATAACGTGAGTACTTTTACATTAGTCAAGGTGAAGGCACCAGTAACATGTGAGGGAGCACCATCAAGGATAAGTAAAATGTGACGGTTTAATTTTTTCATTTCTTTGTTCAACTTTTCTATCCATTCTTGAAAAAAAATAGCCGTCATCCATGCTTTTTTATTGTTACGATAATAGAACCCGAGCTCTTCACCTGTTTTTTTTTTGAAACACCTAGGTCTTGCAGAATGCCCAATAATAAAAGGTTGAAGTTTGTGGGTGCCATCTGCATTGGCTGTAAATGCAATTGTGAGTCTCGTACAATCTTTTTTTGACCCTTCAATCTGGCGAGACGCAATTGTATGGTCAGGAGCCATAGCATAGAATAGACCAGTCTCGTCCATGTTGTAAATATCACAAGGGGAATATTGACTAGTTGTGCTAATAATATCGGGAAGTTTTAGGTTTATGGCAGCAACATCAGCAGAACCACTCTCGCCATGCAACTTAAAATAATGAAAATTGTGTCTTTCTTGAAACGCCTGCAGCCACCCGTTTGAAAATTCAGGCTGATCTCTCTCAGGAATCTTTATTAGAAAGGGGTAAGTTAATAGAAATTAAGTAAATTTTGTTTATTAAGTTTTTTTAAACCTTTAAACTAAAATTAACAAAAATTTAATCAAATTTAATTATTAAATACGATTAAATTTTTGTTAGTTATTTGTATTCAAAACTTTAAAAAAATTTTATTATAAAAATTTGCTTGATTTCTATCGACTCACCTCCATTAAATCTGCTAGCCTTTTACCCTTCGCTTTAATCATGTCTCCATTCAAACGCACAGCCCGATGTTCACACTGTAGTACCCAGTTCGCCAAAGCTGTATCTAGCTCAGGGAACATAACGATACGACGCTTTTTAATTCCAAGGTCAGTTGATGACATTTTGTTGAACTCATCTTTTCTCCTTAAAATATCAGAAATTGTACTTTGGCCGGGGGCTTTGGCTAGCTTGAATTCACTTTTTGCCCACTCTGCGAGTTCCTTCTGAGTAATCTCTGGATTTTCTTGGTAATGGTCACATATCATTTTCCTTTGGTCATTACGCAAGTTTCTAGCTAAAATGACTTTATCTTTTTTTTTCCCCATTATATTAGGGCGAAAGTTGAAAATACAAAAAATTTTTGTGGCTGGGTACAGGATTTTTAAAACGAGAGTATTATTAACTCAATATCCTTTTTTTTATGATTAACCTTTTATTTTATTTGTTTTTTTTTATTTTGTTTTATTTTAATTTTTTATTTTATTTGATGGCGATTTTTATTTGAATTTACCACCATTGAGATTACTTTAGTATGGTATAGATGATGCAAAATACCCTATTTTAAAACCCGTATTATACTGATCCGGTGTTTTATATTGCAGTAAACAGCCATATAAAAAATCATCCTAAATAATAGACATATCAGGTACTAGACCCGGGTGCAGTTCTCAAGATCTTTGATTGAAATGTAATTCTTTTCGAACATTTAGATTGCATGTTATAAATGCAAAGCGGCGTATATATTCCAAATTTTACTTTCTATGATACAAGCCCTTAGCCGTGTACTATACCCGGGTCTTTTATATGGCCGTTTACGGCATTTGGGTTGGAAATTCTTGCGGATTTGTATGACATAGTTTTTAAATAAGCATTTAAACCCGTCATACAATTCTGATCATTCTTTTTTTTGTGTGTGTTTGAGAGTATTTCATTCATGAAGCATTTAGTCTCATCATTCTTTCTCGTGAATTCTAAGCTAATTTAAAATTTAATTGACATTTTTGAGAATGTAAACACATTCTGATTAAGAACTCCGCCTAATTTGGTTCTACCGAACCTGATTGGCATTCGAAGATAGATAAAAAAAAAGCAAACATATTGGGGCATTGCAGTAGAAAGAGCCTAAATGCTATATATATTATATAACATTTAGGCCCTTTCCACTGCAACGCCCCTAAATTCATTGTTGGTAACTGGTTTTAAGTTTTATTAGGTAGAACCCATACCATGGATACCAATTAAAAAAATGTAATGTAACGATAAACGTGAGAAACTTTTAATAAAGTAGCGATTGTTGAACTTAAACTTTGGACTGCATATATGCACATATTTAATTATAGTATATACTTACCATGGTTCTTGATTTTATATTTTTTGCCGAATCTGTAATTTGATTGGTAGATAAGTAATCGTTCATCACGTGACTTTTTTCAAATCCGATAACCTCCCAAACCCGATACGTAACCTGTCCACCATGCATACCGGTTTGGGGAGGGCCGACAGTATAAGCGATTACTCAAGAACTACTTGATCAATTCAGATAAAATTTAAATATATTATAGAGGTATAATGATACTAAGACTTCAGTAAAAATTTTAGCTAATTCTAATTACTAG